GTATAATTAAAATCATAATTACTTGTATAGCAAGCCTTTAGAAGGAATTCGCACCTCTACCGTAAATGTTACATCCCAAACTTTTATGGCTTGTTACATAAGTAATTACGATCGTAATCATATCATGTTTGGTGTCATTTTAATCAGAAAAACGAGACAAATACGATGGTAAAAGTTCCATTGACGAAAAACCAAAAATAAAGAATTTTAATTTTTAAATTTAAAAGACAGAACACGCACGAGTCTTTCATGTTTGCCGAACGCTCAAAATTCTATCCCTCCTTGTCTTTTGTATCGCTGTCTCTTTCTACGTTCAGCACACTACAAAAAATGTAGGACCTCTACCGTAAATGTTACAATCAAGACCGGCAAAAGTAACATTTACGGAGTGAATACTGTATCAGCTGTTATTGGTATACCCTTTTGTGGGCCTAAGATTAACTGTAGTGGCTTGTTATCCGTGCGTAAAATGATTTCTTTGCCAAAAATAAATTGAAAAAATCTATTGAATCCAAACATTATTGCCATAGCCTCTTTATCAATTATAGCACGGCTTAATTCGTTCTTTGCAATCTTCTTTGACGCGTAAGCTATAGGCCTTTCAGAACTGTCTTTATATCTGTGAGATAAAATCGCAGATAACCCGTAATCCGAAGCATCACAAGCCAATACAACCGTTTCTTTCGGGTCGTAATGCGCTAATACGCGGGGCGAAATCAATTCGTCTTTTACCCAATTAAATGCCAATTCACATTTATCGTTCCAAATAAATCTTTGGCGCTTGCTATATCGTATAATGGTTTTAACCTATCTGATCTGTTTTTTTAAAAATCGAGCATAAAAATTTATTAGGCTTAAAAACGAAGCTAATTCCTTACTATTCTTCGGACGCGGTGCGCTAATCATAGCTTCGACTTTTAATTTAGCTTTGTGCAACCCTTCTTTATCTATAACGAATCCTAATACCTCAATTCTTTTTTGAAAAAGTTTTAACTTATCCCTATTTGCTCGCTACCCACATTCCTCTAACCTCTAACCTCTGGTATACGTTTTCTAAGGTTCTCAAAATGTTCTTGTTCCGTACGCCCTGTTACTGTATATTATCTATATAAGCAATTACATTATCGACACCTCTTAGGCACTCATCCATTTTCCTTTGCACGTCTATCGAAGCCGGCGACACACCCTCTGTTTTTTGTGTATCTAAATAAACCTTTGTGCGTTACAATTGTTAAAAAGTCTTTACATTCCTCGTCTATTGAGAACTGCATGTAGGCATGTGTCAAATCCAACTCAGAAAAAGAACACCCACCTTGCATTTTTGCAAACATATTATTAGTAGTATGTAGCGGATATTTATCCATTTTAATAAACGGGTTCAGCGTCATTTTAAAACCGCCACAAATGCGGATACTTACATTATTTTTAAAAACTGGTACAATTGGGATTGCCCATTCACTAACTTCTTTTGGTTCTATATTTTTTAGTTTGACTAATCTATCCAATTCTTTTTCGATTATTGGCTTTAACACATGTGCAACAGGCCTACATTTTAAAGCAATTGGTCTAGTATTTTTTTTTAAATAAATTTTACTTTTACTATTATTATATTCCCCTAGCGCGTCGCTAAACAGAAACTTATACTTCTTAATAACATAATCGGTTAATTCGCTTTTGTTTATTTTATTTATAAAAAACGAGTCATCTGAAAAAACGCGCAATGGCCAGCATCCGAATGCTGCGAGCCACTTGCGGCCTATTAACGTAGGTCCGCTACCTGGCAGAACAAAACAATCTAGTTCGTAAGTTTTATTTTTAAAACTGACTGTCAAATTTGTCAATTTACCTGTAGGCTGCAAAGGATGATTATGGTATGCACGGAGCTTTATTCCTGTTCCAAATATTTTCATATTTTTAAAATAACAATTGAAAACCTGTTTTGAAATAACCGTTGCGTAAGTGCCCGTGTCTATCTTCATATTAATCTCGATACCGTTTACAAGCACTCTAATAAACATTGGCTCAGCCACATGGCCGCCGCTCACGCAGACCTACCTGAACTTGGCACCCGACTTTTAAAAATTGTATTCCTTTGAATTGTATCGTATTCGGCTTCATTTGTACCCGTTTGTACCACCTTTTTTTTCGTTTGTACCCTAAGAGGTGAAAATACCCCAGCACCCCACTTTAACATTTTTTATTTCTTTCAACACCATCATAAAAAGGGATGTCTGTAGAGCTTTGTACCACCTTCACTTTCGTTTGTACCGCCTTTCGAAAGTACCCCCAAGGGGTAACTTCGCCATTTTTTAAAATATTTCAAATCTTCTTGCGGATGCTGTTTCCTAGTCGTTTGTACCCGTTTGCACCATCTTCACTTTCGCTTGTACCTCAAAGGGTTCGTTTGTACCGCCTTTTGAAAAAATTCTCTAGAGGTAACGTCGTGAATTTTGGGAGTTTTTTAAATCTTCTTGGGGGTGCTGTTTCCTATTCGTTTGTGGAGCTTTGTACTACTTTTACTTTCGTTTGTACCTCAAAGGGTTCGTTTGTACCGTCTTCTGAAAAAATCCCCTAGGGCTAAGTCCGTCATTAACCGACTTCGAAAAAGGAGGAGGTTACTCAATTCGATCAGTATATTTTTTTTTCCTTTTTTTTTTTTTTTTTTTTTATTATTTTCTATGTGTGCCCGCTGATTACGCCTAGCTGGATGCACCGATCGGAACGAAACCTTTTTTGCATCTAGTAGGTTCTGACTCCCCATTGGTACCATTATCAAAAACTTTTTCATTTTTTAATTGCAAAGTGTTGTTATTGCAAAAAAAAC